CCCTGCTGAGAGAGTGGGGGCCGTCTCCTCAAATGCAAATGCAAGGGAAGAGGAAGAGGACAGGTAAGGTGCGCAAGAGAGGGGAAGTCTTAGAAAAATATGATTGATGTTCCCCCAGTGGATTGAGGCGGTCTCTTCTTCGCTCTCAGGTCTACGCTAAAAGAGTTTGTGCTACTTTCAATACCGTCAGTGAGTGTGTGTGTGTGTGTGTGTGTGTGTGTGTGTGTGTGTGTGTGTGTGTCGCCACTTTCACCGTTTGGACCTCTGTAAATTTGGAAGGGAGGGTGATGAGAGGGAGATGAGAAAATCAGGGGGGAAAAAAGGCAGAAGAAGGTGAGCTGTGGGAATGGGAGAGGTGGGAGGAAAGTAAAGAGGTCAAACCAAAAAGGAGATGGAGTGAAGGAGAGGGCAGAGAGATTTTTTCATTACAAAGCCATCACTCACATGCGCAGCAGCCACTACATACTCTCAGACTCTTCAGAGACTAAGCCTCCGCGTTGTGTGTGTGTGTGTATACACTTGTTCATGCTTGTGCATCCTTCCATGTATATTTTTGACATGGGGGATATTTTTGGGTGCACGCATGTCTGAGTGTGAGCGTATGCGCCTGCGCGTGAATGCTGCGAGAGCTGGGGTGAGACAGAGATGAATGCGATGCACATGTCTCTTTCCCAACCAGGTGACAGAGGCGGGCCCCCACTGAAGGTCAGACCTTATCCCTCAATGATAGCCCAACATTAAATATGTATGTGTGTGTGTGTGTGTGTGTGTGTGTGTGTGTGTGTGTGTGTGTGGTAGTTTTGTTCCATGTTTAGGACCTTTATCAGCATGCACACCAACCTTTTTGAAACTATTGGTCTTTTTGGGAACAGCATTTTATGGGATCCTGGTTACCTTTAGAGTTTGGGTTAGACTTTGAGGATAACGTGTGTGTGTGTGTGTGTGTGTGTGTGTGTGTGTGTGTGTGTGTGTGTGTGTGTGTGTGTGTGTGTGTGCACCCAGTTTGGTTCATCCTTATGACCTTCACCATTGTACACACTAACCTTGTTGGCACCACTGTTCTTTTTTGGGAGCAGGAGGCCAGCTTTTAATGGGGTGAAGGTTAAGTTTAGGGTTTTGGTTAGACATACAGGATAACGGCATAAACATGTGTGTCTGTGTGTGTATGTGTGCAGCTGTGTGTTTGTCTCGCAGTGTGTCACTGAGAGAACAGGAGGATAGGCAGACAAAGCCAGGACTAGTTTTGTTTTTATATATTTATTTTTGTATACAAGAGACTTTGTGTATTAACGGCCCATTTGTATGCATGTGTGTGCATAAGTCTTTTATGTCCATGGCCGTGCATGTGTTTGTTACTCAGTGTGTGATGAGGTGTTTATATGATAAACACAAGGCAAGCTTGAGAGGAATTCTGATCAGGGGCTTTGCAACAGTTGTTATGGAAACAGCATTAAGCAGTTGTATTAGCCAGTGGAGGTAATATAAAGGCTGTTGAAAGTAACACACTGTGGGGAGAGAGGCAGTTTGGGAATATAATACAAACTACACATTATTGCTCCGGTTTACAATAGACTTGATGAAATTTTATTGTGTGGCTAGAACAGAACAAAATTATCCTCGTCATAAGTCATTGTCTGTCTCTCTGTTCGAGCCACACATTTTAATTAGCCAGGTTAGAGAACACAGTGCAAACAAGACATTATTGGTCTGGTTTACAATAGACTTCACATCATTAATGTCAGCTTAAGGCAAAGCCTAACTTAGTCTGCATTCGGCTTTCTCTTTCCAACATAATCTTTGCTGCAGCTCGAGACTGCACAAAAGAGCCACCGTTGCTCCATGACATTGGTGATTTTTAGAGGTCAGCAACGAGCGTTACACAAAGGGATGCTGAGAGATGAGCCGTGTCACATTTCAGATCACAAATCAAATAGTGTTACGTGTGGATTTAACGTGAGACAGCCATATAAAATGTGTGTTTTATACGGTGAAACTTTGAAGTAAAAATATATGAAACAGACCAATAAATGATGTATAACATAAATAACAGAAATGCTTTATGCTTGCTAAAAAAAAAAAAGCAAAATGAACTCTATGAATAGAATGCTTGTGAACATCAGGCACTTGTAATACTAATGCGGTTTGTTTCACCCCCTTCATATGGTATGTATACAAGACTCAAGGAGCAAGGCAGAGACAAAATTCTGTAGTTGAAAAGGACCTTCAGTTTGTTACCTCCTGTACTGCCAAAATAAACTGCTCAATGCCAGATGATTGCTTTGGTGAGAACCAGCAGCAGCCTTCATTTGAGGCACTTCAAATGGATGTGACAGTTCCAGTTTATAGACAGCTCTGTTTTCCCCCGATCTCTGTCAGGGTGATGCTCATCATTAGACTTCAGACATGCGCACACACATGCTCTCACACATACACACACACACACACACACACGCTAGCCTGTAGCTAGACCCTATAACGGAATCTCCCTGGGGAAAGCTCCTGGATAAGTCTGTTGCTGTGTAGGCGAACCCCCCCCC